AGTACAAACGTTGCTAAGGCCTGTCATATTTGTAGCATTATATATTTAAAAAGCTGTTGAGTGACAGATCAAAATACCAATTATAAGTATGTTGTAATAACTGTTTTTATCTAGCTTTGACAAATTTAAGTTAACTGTCTAAGAGCTAATTGTACAAGATTCTATACTCCGGGAAATCCATTGCTGATGACAAACAAGGTAGCTGTTAGAGGCTACTGCTATTTAATTTTGTACCTTAAACAAAACTCACAGTAAGCAATTTCATCCTATACAAAGAAAGAGCCTCCCTTTCACAAAAATTCAGAACACAGAATTTATCTTTGTTTAAAATTTCTAAGTAGAAATTTCGTATTAAACACTAAACACTTATTTAAGGAGTAAATTATCAAAAGCTACATTTGCTTTCATGTAATAACATGTAATGGGGATTTTAGTGCACATTTGGAACAAGGATATATATTACTTTACAGCAGTGTAATTAACATGCACTGGAATGTAGGGCCACAAAAAGAAAGGTATGGAAATGTTGTTTAAATTTTAATCTTCTGGACTGAGCAAATCCATGGAATGTCATATTTAATAATTCTTCAGGCAAGACTAAAGTCCTCAACAAAGCAGAAGTGGTAAATTACATAATGAAGTGACCAAAATATGAAAACAAGACAAAAAGATTTTGATAAACAGAAGATAAATATCCTTCCTTCTCATTAGTTGGACTATTTGCAGCATGGGGTGTCATGCATTCAATTCATGTTCCTGCATTGTGTCCTCTATGCACACACAAACCTTTGCTTCAGTGGAAGTTTTGTGAGAGGCTCCCCACCTCCAGCTGGAGACTAAGCTTTGGGAGAGGAATATATATTACTACCCATTTGTCTTTGTATGTTAAATGGAAGCCTGTGTTTTGTTTCATCAAGGAAGTGTGCACCACTTTGGATTTAGATGATACTGGCTCCTGTGCAGCTCATTTCTGGGAAACCATGTTTTAGTAAGATACTCTTGAGAATGAAAATTAAATATTAACTATGTTAGGTGAGCAGTAGCTGGTAAAGGAAGACACATGGCCCGTTTGGCTTCTCTTTTTGGAACTGTTCCAATCCAGACATACTTAATGGTGTAAACCAGATTAAATCCCATTTTGTTTGAGAGCAATGCAGCCAAGTTCCAAAGGGGAAATATGGAGAGAAGCATGAATAAAAGCAGATAGGTGACTTTCAGAGAGACTCACTGAAAAGTCTCATAAACCATCTATCTGATGCAGCATGGCTTCTTGACTCTTTTGTGCTGGCACCCAGATTTTGTCCCTCAGAGTAACCCACAAGAGCCATAAGAGGAAATACACTGAACCAGGAGAGGTGTTGGAGAATAAAAAGCTCTCCAGAGAGCTATTTCTCAAGGGAGGCCTCAGGTGCAGCCCCAGCTACAGAAGGCTGAGGCTGTATTAGGTGCGGGAAATGTGTGTGCGCACTGGGCTCTTAGGCACTGTGGTACAAATGGGCGGGTGTTCTCCCACCTCAGGGACTTGTGTAGGTGTAGGCTGGAGGGACCAAGCTGATTCCAAACACGCTATGTAAACCCTACGTTACTCAGTATCCATTACCTGGAAAACAAGTGTCTCTTTCAAATTTTCATTGAAAATTTTATGGGTAGATTGTATTTTTTGTAGATATTTATTTTAAATTACCAATGACAATTAAACTTTGCAGGTTGGGAATTTACCGTGTGACAGCACCAAGATAAATGCTAGAAATAGGAGGAAGTTTACAAATAATCTGCAAATATAAATACCCAGCATAATGCATGCTCCTTATTGCCTGTACTGCAGATGTAACTTAGTTACATTAAAACTGCATCACTCTGTGGTTTTATAGCAATCATGTGAGACATAAAGTGCAACATTTTCTCATCTTGATGGAACCTTATAAAGTGAATACAAGACAGTAACCAAAAGCTAAGTGTTCAAGACAGTAACCAAAAGCTAAGTGTAACCAAAACCACATGGAATTTGCATTTGGTTATGGACTGTACAGTTTGGGTTTTCTGCCCCAATTCTTGTTCCAGAGTGTAATTAGAGAAGCTGTGCTATGCCTTGTGGAATTATTCAAGGCTTGATACTGAAATGCTTGTTCCCCCAACAGAATAGGTCTAAGAGTAAAATAGCCTGATTGCCAGCAGGATTACCCAGACAGGCGATAATGGCAGCTGCTCTGTGTACCTTTGGATCCACCTATTGTGGTGGTTTGGGTGGATTCACCCTTTTTGCTTGCAGCCAAACACAATGGCCTTGAGCTCCAGCAGCAACTAGTAACAGTACTTCTAGCAACATTCCTCTCATAACAAGTCTTACACTGAAACTAAAACACAGCTATTCTAATTACTAAGAAGAAAATTAACTCTATCCTAGCAAAACCAGGACACCTATACAGCAGGGCACTTCAGGTTCCTAGAGTTTAGTGTTCCTCACTGAACCCTCAGAGGCTGGAATTGGTTGCTTTGTTGAGCAGAGAGAGGGGCAGCTCACACAGGTTATGTCTGTATTATCAAGTTATGCAGTACAATAGAACCAGATTGGTGAAGCAGCTGGTTCAAGGAAGCTGACTGTGGACGTCTCAGGAGTATCTCTAGTTTGATCCACTAGACTGAACATCCATTAACAGTCAGCACATTTGCTGTAATTCTGGAGCTCAGCTTCTACTTTAGTTTCACCTGGAAAGAATTCAATTTCTGTGCTGTAAGACAAACCACAGCATATTAAGGAGGAATGAGCAAGAGATGTTATCCAAACTGTATACCCAGTGACTTTCTCAGGCTTGTTGTCTCAAACCAGTTCAACATTGCAGGCAGAGCCCTTCTTGCCCTCAGGCGAAGGCTTGAGTATTGCCTGATGAGTGATTTCACTTTCTAGGTGTCCTGAAAGTAATCTTACAGTTTGTGCATTTTCCATGTTGGAGAATAATGTTGTAAGGCTTGGGAGTTACCAAAGATGGTAGTTTAAGCTCTTAATAGTATGTGGTCTGTGATGTTGTTCTCCAGAAAAAAAAAAAAAAATAGAAATAGGTGATTTGAGGGGACAGAATTTCACCCAGCTAACTTCCAGAGGTGCTAGGTTGGTCACAGATCCAGATACAGTTAGTTAGCATTGACTTCCAGACAAAGCCTATGGGTAATAGGAATGTTTGTCCCAGCCTTGCTCCCTGGCATAGATGCTCCCCAGAGGCTGTAAAACCCATCACAGTAACATGAAATTGCTTTCAGCAAAGATCCAAATCAACTGTGTTGTAGGCTGTGAACTCTTGTCTCACTTTCACTTTGTAACAAGATTAAGACATAGTAATAGGATGGCGGAAGAAAGCTGTCACTTCTTTTGCATACGTGGTGTCTGTTTTTCAAGGATTTCTGCCCCCTGACTTACAAGGGTTCCCCTTTCATTAGCTCCAATTTAAGAGTTTAATATTTATCTGTTTTTAAAGAGAAACTACTTAATAGCTGACAGATCCTAAAAGCAATAGCAACAAATAACAGCAGAAGTCAGTTTCTTCATAATAAATGCTTTATACTGCCACTAATTTCTGCAGTCTAAACATAAATCAAGGTATGCAAGCACTGAGAACACTGCACTTCGATCCGTGTGAGGCTATTCTCTGCTTTAAGCAAAGGTAGAAACTAAAAGGGTAAGATAGAATAGAGAAAGTCAGGTTATTAACAACAATTTTGTAGCTTCATTTTCTACTACATTCATGTTGTGAATATACTAGCAAATGGGCTCTGGGTTTGCATTTCCTTCTAGTCTTGTGCAGCAGGACACTAAATAATAGCATTGGTGGTCTAATCTGCACTTTAATACGTTTTCTTCACTTGCTTAATTGTATTAATGGAAAGAGGAGGATGATCTTGTGGCGAGGACAGAGTACTGGAAGTCAGGTGATCTGGGTTATATTCAAAGTTCTGCCACAGGCTTCCTGTGCAGTCTGCTGTAATCACGTTTGCTAATATATAAAATGAAGATAATGACATTTCCCCTCCTTGCCAGGGTGTTGTGACACTTAATTCATTAATGTTTGTAAAGTGCTTTGTGCTCCTTGCTTCTAAATGTGCTCCTTACTGTAATAATGTCTTATGGATGGTATTAAATTTGAGAATAATGTTACTTTAGTGCCTGTGCTTTGAGTTGGCTTAAGTGTAGTAAAGACCATTATTTCTACGTATTTTATGAGCTACTGGAATTTTTCAGATGACTTACTTGAAATTTAGCTAATATAGTTAGTTATAAAATATACTATGGCAGTACTATGCCTGCTTCTTATTTTTTTTCTGTGCTTTCACTGTGATTTAGCAATAACCAAGACTGTCTTATGTAGACTAAAAGGAGGAAGAAAGATTTTGGCATAAATACTATAGTTGCTTGACTTCCAGCTCTGCTGCTGAGCCTGCTCTCTACCCTGGTAAATCACTAAACAGCTCTGTGTCCCATTGCAAAATGCACAGAAAAATTGAACAACAACAACAAAAAAAAAATTAAAAAGAGGAGTTTTGGTATTTACCTAAATTGTAGCAGTACTACAGGACCAAGGAACTGTATAATTTATGTAGTACAGTTTAAAAACAAAAGAAAAAATAGTTAACTTACAAAATCTCTGAAGGTTTGGCAATGCAACTCCCAATAAATTCAGTACAAATCACACAGCTGAATCTCTGTATTGGGCAGGAAAATAACTCAGCTAAAATTCTCTTAATGTGCAGTACAGTAGGTTTGTTAAAGCAAATGGAAGTTGTGTGTAGAAGTGAAAGTAGAATAAACTGCTGAGTTTTTAAAAAAACAAAAGCACGAGTATTATTAGCATTCACCGTGCATATCTGGATTTTTCAGAATGTGGTAGTTCACTGAAATTCTGCTCCTATATGAAATCAAATACTTATCAGACAATTGTAGCATGTAAAGATATCTGGTTTTAATAGCTAGTGATAATTACATCAGCTGAAGAAAGGAATTACAAACTTACCATAAATAGAAGGAATTCATTCAAGGCTGTACAATGTTTGTCAGGCAGTAACCACGCTGCTGGTACAGTGCAAGAAAAAGCACACACATCCCCTTACAAGCACTAGCCAACATTAGATTAGTAGGAAGAAAGGAAAGCAGCTGACACTTACTATCAATATAAAAGTTCCCAGGAATTCTGAGAGGGCTTCTTTAACCAAGCTGTTCTTCAAGGCAAATCTCTCCTTTAAACTCCTTTTGCTTTTCCGGCTCATTTTGGCTTCCTCTATTGCTCTGGTGCCCTAGTTACAAATACACACAAAATTTGCTCTGTATTCGTCCCTGCTTCAGATGAACTTTGACACTTTTACTTATACATTGAAATATGAGATTTCATCTTGTACAGCCAGTGAAGTCATCTGACTGCAGGCATTGACAGAACCAACTCAACATGTCCTAACAATTCATCATGAGTTTTCCATCCTGTAACTTCTCTGAGTACACTTCTATTTATACTGGTTAGATAATACCCGTAGGATCACAATTGGAACTCTTCTTTTTTTTTTTTTTCTTGCAGAATGGATTAATCATTACCTTTTCTGCTATGTTACTTTTTTTTTTCCCACCCCCTGGTAAAAATGAATAAAATGTTGTTCCTGTTGCTCAGCTCAAAAAGAAAGGCAAAAAGAGAAACCACAAAGTAAGGAACCAAAATATGGTTGAAAATTTCTCTCTGACCTAGATTGGGATGTAAACCATGCTACTATTGGCTGTCCAAAAACTTTTCAAGGGGAGGTTGTAAAAGAGAGTAAATGCTTGTGAGAATGCTGTGCTTTACCCTGTAAGCAAAAGCTCCTATCTTGTCATTTCTGAGAGATTTCGGTGGCTAATGAAGAATCTTACCTTGGTGTAGTGTGTTGAATTTGTATATTCACTCACAATACTCTTTTTGGACTAAATGCCTTGCTCTCTAGTGACCCGCCCTGTTTACAAAAGAGCAACGAGGCAGAATAAATTAGGACCATTTAATGAAATCTGCTTCGGTCCAGTGGCTCCCTATAACACAGTATAGGCAAGTGAGGCACTGAGCGACTATGTGTCTCCAATATATTTAGCTTAAAAGCGTATAGATGCTACAGTATGAAGCATTATAATATTATTTTCCATGATCTTAAGACATTAAGTTTCTGGATATCTCAAAGAATTGGGCCTCTTAGAGAAAAATATTACACTCTTACTCTCTTAAGCATCTTGAATGGTTTTATCAGATGTGATACTGACTGGACTAACACGCTGTCTGGTTGATTTACAACTCTTTTCTGTTGTTTGACTTGACAACAAAACCTTAGCCTGGTTCTGGTAGATTATTTTGACATGTGTTGTAGATGCTCAGTGCCTTGTTTTGTATCTGACTTAAACCTCTTTCACCTTGGTGGTAAATATGTTTAGGTCTGTCAGTACTGTTGTCTGCTGTGAATAGGATGGAGCTTTGCAGGACTGGGCAAATGGGCCACTTCTGTTATCCCATCAGTGCTCTTCCTTGCCTCAAGCTAGGACCTGATCCATGTACCCTGCAGCTGTAGTCATCTTACCACCACGAGTTTCATCCCTTAGCTACCCAGTTCACCTCCACCACCCAATTTTAATCCTTAATCGCTTTTCCATGTCCTTTTACTCACCTCTCTCTATGTCTGCATTTGAATACCACTCTGCCTTTAGCTGATTCAGAAAATGCTGGCCTGTGGAAAGCCACATAGCTGGTGAACTATGAGATGACTGCATCTGTACTGGTGCTGCAGGAGCCAGGGTGAGCACCTGTGCATCACAGGCATGCTCTGTTTTAGGAGTGCAACAGGTCCTGCACTGCAGAACCTGCCTGTACTGCAGGTCTGCACTTGCACAGACAGCTGGGAGCTGCCTCTGGGAAGCCCCTGAAAATAGCATGTGTAGGGTTGTTTGAAAACATTTACCCTACACCACTGCAAAACAAAGATATTATTCAGGACCTTAATTACCACAGCATGCTAAAGTATATGTTTATTATGTCTTTCAGAATTATGTATACAGTAGAACTGAGGGAGGATGCTAGGGAAGCCAGTCATCAGGAATGAGATAAACCACTTCCTCTCTTCCAGGAAAATGATAAATAAATAAATACATTTATGAAAGCAGTTTTTAGTTGTTTGTCCATAGCACCTCTTTCTCTCATGCAGATGAAAGTTTCCCTCATAAAGGAGTATGCAGATACCTTCTAGTTTAGTCTCATAACAGGTGTGAAGGCATTAATGCTATTTTTCAGCTAAAAATAGGGCAATAACATGTCAAAGAAGAGAAATCCTTACTCATTTGTCCAGATCATGTTACCTTCCTTATAACAATTGTCTGTCTTTACAGCATGGAGAACTGACACAAATATGCATATTTTACATTTGCTTTCTTCAGATTTTCTTCATTACTTTATAGAAATCACATGATTTAACTTAATTAATAAGAACTGTGATGCTAAGTTAGACGAAAGGTACTCCTCAGCTCCGTAACCAGATTCAAACAGATGCTCTAAGAAAGTATAGAAGAACAGAGTACATAGGGGATGATTGCTCCCTTGGTAAATCCTTCCAGCTTTTGACAACTGGCAATTTAAAGTCACTGCTACACTTGGGACAATCATTTTCAAGTAGAAAAGGGGACAACACAGAATATTTTAATTAAGTTTCTCCTTTTACTGTATTCAGAAAGAGGTTTTAAAGACATTTCCCAAATCTAACAAATATGTATGTAGCATTACAAGAAAGACAAGTAAAATGTAAAGACCAACACCATTAAAGTGTTGACCTTAATTACTAACCCACGTGAACCATGTTCCATGTTACTGCCTTTTAGTCACATGCAATGGACCACTTGGTTGAACAATGGAAACAAAATACACTGTGATTATTGTTTTCTACTGATCTCCTTCACCTGCGCCCTGCTCCCGGTGTCATAATGTTAAGGATACTCGAAGCATCTGAGGGAAGAAAATGTAGGCATCCTTCAAAAATGGAAGTCGTATATAAGTGGGGAACATAGAAAGAGCATAAGCTCTGTCATATTAAATGTAGAACCACAACAGAGTTGTCCAAAAAGATTTTAAGATTTTGCCAAGAATGTGAAAGTAGTAATTTAAACTTTTTCAAATTCCATTGCAAGAGAAATCCTACAAGACAGTAAATAAAGCTATGAAAAGCATAGTGGAAGTGTTCAAGGTGGCTAACTCCACCGCTAAAAAGCTAAAAGAATTATTTGCCTTGCTAAAGAACCAAACGTTAGGTGGGCTGAGTGTGAGACTTTGTCCTAAAATTAATTGTCAGTAGGAAAGACTTCAAGAGAAATTGATAAGTTAAACAGTACCTAGCTGCTAGAGCTGTGCAGTGCCAAGGGATTCAAATGTTCAATTACTGAAATGCTAGTGCCAGTGGGTTGTTTTTTGCTGAACCCAATCCTAATGCCAGCAAAATACAACACAGGACATGTACCACCAATCCACTGGTCTTTCAAAAGAGTCCTTCAAGGGTGATCACGAGAACTACAAAACTGTCAATGTGACTTCTATGCCAGGAAAATTACATAATTGTTGTAAAGAATAAAATCAATAGACACACAGATAAAGCAGATACTTTGTAGAAGCATCAAGTGGATTCTGTTAAGGGAGGTTATGCCTCGCAAATCTATTGGCATTCTTTAAAGACATCAAAAAGCACACTGATATTATTTTTCATGCTTGAATGTGTGATCAGTGTAACCTTAGATTGCAAGATTAAGACCCTTGGGACCCTTTCCCCAAGGCAGTCTGAACTGAACTATTTCTTCTCTTCACCTGGATTCAAGCAGAGCAGGAATTCACACAGTGTATATAACGTAACTATTTTTATAGTAATCTTCACTCCAGTAGGAATAGCAAAGTAGAAAATAATACACATAGCTCCCACAGTTTAAATCCCATGGGTAACAGTATATACTGTACCGAATTTTTAATAGCACATTATTCAGAGTATCACATAAATTGTTATTGCTGATGTAATAAAACCTAAACCAACACAGCTGGAGAGACTAAGGCTATAAATACACCATATATTTTTTTGTATTGTAGTAATATGGGCTGAATTATTTTTAAGTCTAAATCTGCTGATTTTAGTTGAATTAGACAAAGTCTGAATGTGTACATCTACTATAATTCATGTCCCTGGTCAAATGCCTTTGCCTAATTTATATTTATGTTTTCATAGAGAAACTGCTGCATGGTCCCTTAAAGGACAGTCTCTGTTTTAGGAATTGATCTTACTGCTGGGGAACTCAAAGAGAAAAAATAAGGTGAGGAAGAAATGAACACACTGCAATTTGGCATTCTAAGCTTTTTAAGTACATAAAAAACCTATTTCTTTAGTTCTTGTGTTTTCTGATCATCCCTCTGTCTCTGCTGTAGTCTCTGGTGAAAAAGTGCTCAGGGGGGCAAACATCTGCAATGCGCAGCTTAGATCTAGCTGAGCCCACCTTGGAGGAGGGGCAGGGCACACAAGGTGACCCCTTGAGAATTTCTTTGTTCTTTCTTCTCTTTCTGTGATCTCAGTGTCCAGATAAAACATTTAAGTCCAGATCATGAATATGAGATCAAAACCACACCACATATGTGTGTTTCAGGCTTTTTGCCAGTAATCTTTAAGGCCCTAGTCAAAGCTTGTTGAAATCCACTGTTGCTGACACTAAGAATTAAATTGGACTTTAGTCTCTAAAGCAGGACCCAAAACTTTTATTTGTTCTTAATTGGCTGGGCACACCACCAGGACTCAGTGCATAACTGATGTTACTGCACACATACATATAATATATAGTTATATCATTGATGATAGTAAATTTTACAATTTATTGTACAGACATGTCTGTGTATAACACAGGCCCTGGGAGTTTCCAAGCTGGTTTAATCTCTGTCATAGCCGCGCTGGCATAGTGGAGCACAGATAACATTCCACACTGAAGGGCTCTGTAACAGAACTGTCAGTGCTGGCAAAACGTGAGAGTGTTGGGGAAATGCTGTACAGATGGTTCCATGCACCAGTGTTATCTGCTGTGCTGGGCTGTGCTTCCTTCTCAATGTGCTGGATACAGTTCTTGTATAAGCTTATCTGGTAGGTTACAGTACGGGCAGGGCTGATGTTCTGAATGCATCCGGAAAAAGACTGTTTTAGTACAAGAAGAATTTTGCTTTTAAGGAATAGATCAATTTAGTACAGACAAGTTGGCTTTGTTGCAGCCAATCCCCTGCTCTTTTTTTCTGCATATTCCCTTTTCTCAAGCAGTTACTGTACACGAGAAGTAAATGTAAGGGAAGATTATTGACAGCATGTTCTTTCTTAAATAACTCTTTCCTTTTCCAAATTCTTTATTAAAAAGCCCTCGAAATGGAGATGAAAATTTTAAATTCAGTTTTGCTATTAAAAACAAAAGATATCTTAGTAAATATATC